AGAGTTTATTACAGGGCATTGTAGAATTAAGGTGAGACAAGTTTAAGATCGGTCCTCTACCTGTCCTTTTCAACCTCCTCAGGAATATTTTACTACTGGTTATCTTTCTCCCTATTTGTATATTGAACCTTGTTACCCAAATGGATCTTTTTATCATCCAGATATGGGTAGATATTTCTGTTTTTTTTTTTAAAACATGAATAAACCCTCTGGATTTTGGTTCCCTGTCTGCTAGCTGCCACTTGCTTTCCTCCCCTCACAACCAAACTTATCTCTGATTACTATTACTCATTGTCTTCATTTAATGATTTCTACTTCTTTTTTTAACCATCTCACAATTGTATCCTGTCTCATCAATTCTCTTTGTATTCCTTGATGGCCTTCTATTGGAAATATTCAGTCTTTAATCATGTAACCTTTCTGTGACCTATAAGGTTTTAGTTAATTTCTCTGGCTACTTCCAACTTAGGATAACTTTCAAATACCCTCTCTCAGCTATAGACCTATAAACCTTAGCTGGACATTTTCTTATAGTTATTTCTCTGGCACTTCAAATCAAATATTCACAAGCAAACAAGTGATTATTTTTTTTGTCTCCAGATGTGGGTTGTCATGCAGTGGGTTCTTTTCTATGTCAGAAAGGGAAGGTGTCATATAAAAATTTTCAAACATTAGGACTCCCCTCCCTCCCTCCCTCCCTCCCTTCCCTCCCCTCCCTCCCTCCCTTCCCTCCTTCCCTTCCCTTCCTTCCCTCCCTCCTTCCCTCCCTCCCTCCCTCCCTTCCCTCCCTCCCTCCCTCTCTCCCTCCCTTCCTTCCTTCCTTCCTTCCTTCCTTCCTTCCTTCCTTCCTTCCTTCCTTCCTTCCTTCCTTCCTTCCTTCCTTCCTTCCTGCTTTTTGGTTAGTCATGGGGCCTGAACTCTGGGCCTGGGTGCTATCCCTCAGCTCTTCAGCTCACAGCAAGTGCTCTACCACTTGAGCAACAGCACTACTTCTGGCTTTTTCTGCTTATGTGTTGCTGAGGAATTGAATCCAGGGCCTCATGCATGCAAGGCAAGCACTCTACCCTGAGCCACCTTCCCAGCCCCAATTTTCAAACTTTTTTAAGATCTCATTTTATAATTGATTTTCAACTTGAGTGTAATATAGTAAGAAAACTGTTAGTTTGGCTAAAGGTTTGTCAGTCTTATCTTTTCAAGGAATCAACTTTTTGTTTAATTTATTCTTTGTATTGCTCTTTTTAGGACAATAATTTAATTTTTGCCCTGATTGTTCTTATTTCTCTTCATATGCTTGTTTTAAGTTTGTCTTGTTCTTGTTTTCCTAAGAGGTTGAGATGCATCTTTAGGTAATTTATTTGTCATTACTCTTTTCTCTCTCTCTCTCTCTCTCTCTCTCTTTCTCTCTCTCTCTCTCTCTCTCTCTCTCTCTATATATATATATATATATAGTGAAAATACTGTACAGAGGGGTTAGTTACATGAGCAAGGTAATGAGTACATTTCTTATCAAGCATTGTTGCCTCCTCCTTTGTTTCTCCTTACCATCTCTGCCCTCCCATCACCCTACCCCCCACCCCACCAAAGTTGTAAAGTTCGTTTTTCGACATAATGTCTTGTACATCTCATTGTTGCAATGGGTCCACCTGTAACTCTATTTAAACAATTTGTTTTTTCCTTCCCCTCTCCAAATTACACCAACATCAAATACAGTGAAAACAGGAGTTATACCTTGGGGGAGGGACATACAAAGCAACAAAGAAATCATCTTATAAATATGTTAGAAACAATAGCAAGAAAGAAAAACCATTCGAGTCCTTATCTTGGGGTTCATTGTTGGTTGTAGGGCTTGAACTCAGGGCCTAGGCTCTGTTAGAGCTTGACCACTTTGAGCCACAGCTCTGCTTACAGTTTTTAGGTGGTAATTGGTAATTATGTACTTTCCTGCCCTGGCTGGCTTTGAATTGGGATCATTTCAGCCTCCTGAGTAGCTAGGATTATAGGTGTGAACCACCAGTGCCCTGTTCTGATTTTTAATGTAGACATTCATGGCTATAAACTTTCATCTTAGCACTGTCTTAGTGCTCATTTAATACTCCCAAAGTTTTTGATAAGTTGTGGTTTCATTTTCCTTTGTTCTATGTTTTGTTTTGTTTTGTTTTAGTTGTGGGGCTTAAACTTGGCCTGAGCGCTGTCCCTGAGCTCTTTTGCTCAAGACTAGTGCTCTATCACTTTAAGCCACAGTTCCACTTTCAGGTTTTGAGTGGGTAATTAGAGATATGAGTCTCATGGGGACTTTTCTGCCAGGGTTGGCTTGGAACCATGATCTTCCTGAGTTACTAAGAATACAGGCATGAGCCACTGGCGTCTGGCTCAATGTTTTTTGTTTTTGTTTTCTAAAAAATTTTCCTCTTATATTTCTTCAATCACTCACAGATCATGCAAAAGTGAATTGTTCAGTGTCTGTGTTACAATATTTTCTGGGTTTTTTTGTCATTGATTTCTCATTATTTTACTGTGGCATTTCCTTTTTTTTTTACATTCATTAAGGTGTACTTTATATCATAAAATATGATCTATTTTGGAGAAAGTTCCATGGATTGCTCAAAAAATGTGTATTCTAAGGTTTTCCGGTGACTTATTATATAGATGATTATTCTATTTAATCTGTATTAAAAGTTAATTCTTACGTTTCCTTATTGTTTTTAAATTTGGTTGACCTAGCTATTAGTCAAAGTAGGGTGCTTAAATTCAGTCATTATTTGTGTGTTGGGATCTAGGTTTTTGTTGTTGCTGTTTTTTATCTAATGATGTTTCCTTTATGAATTGTACAATATTCATGTGCATATATTTACAATAGTTAAATCCTCTTGATAGATTGTTTCCTTTATTAATGGAAATCACTTTCTTTGTCTCTTCTCATTTTGATTTGAAGTCTGCTTTGTCAGTTATGAGTATGGTTGTTCCTGATTGCTTTTAGGCTGCTTTTGCTTAGAAAAATATTTTTCTTATCCTTTCACTTTAAGCTTGGATTTGTTAGTGAGGTGCATTTTTTGTTAGTAACAAATAGTGGGAATTGATTTTTAATCCTATCCTCCAGTCTGTCTTTTGATTGGAGAATTGAATCCATTAACATTCAGAGTTACTATTGAGAGATATGTTGTATATTCTGCCATTTTGCTGTTTTTCTGGTATTTTATTTTCCACTCTTCAATTGCTTATCTTTTGAAGAGATTTTTTTTCTCATATTTCCATCATTCCACCACTACTTCTTCTGTGTATAGGGTTCCTTCTGCAGTGTTGTTTTAATGGCCATAGATTGCTTTTAATGTTTTTGTTCATCATGAAAGGCTTTTTATTTCTCCTATGAGAAATTTATTTCTTCTTTTAATTTCTCCTATGAAAACAGAATAATGAAACCTGTTGAAACTGTTCTAGGAAGCAGGGAGGGGAATAAGGGGACCACAGAAGAGATGGATTTGATTAGGATACATTGTATGCATGTATACAATAAAATACTTTTGTACAACTAATATATGCTAACAAAAATGGGAGGGGAAGAATATAAAAAAACAAAATTTTGATATCTGACATTTTCTTTTGTTCACACCACCCTTATTGTCTAATATATAGCCTGTTTTTGCTTGTGTTGCAATCTACTTGTAAAGAATGCCTGAGTCATATACATGTGTGTATATAAAATGGTATATCAAAGGTATTTTAGATTTACAAAAACAATTCTGTTTTTACAAGGTAGTTGCATACAACACATTTTCTCTGTTCCATATGTTCTTACAGGTTATGCAAGTCTTTGTTTCCTTCCTTTGAGTCAGGTTATAAGTGTGATTGTCCTGTCTACTAAGTACAGGTGAAAAAATGGTGTTTAGTGACTTTTGAGCCTTGAGTCTGGCCTGGTTCCCTCTGTCCTGGAATTTGTGTCTTTGGTATCCAGTCACCATGTTTGTGGAGCCTCAAGCTACAGGGAGAGGCCATGTATAAACATTCCAGCTGACAGTTCCAGCTATGGTGTCAGCTAACTCTCAGCAACAACTGGCAGATATGTGGGAGATGAGCTTTTGGATAATTCCAGCTGTTGACTTTCAAGTCTGCCAGTTAAGACCTTAGGCTTTGTAGCATTCAGAAAAACTGTCCTTCTGGTTATTTTTGATATAATGTCTTACTTTCCCCCTGGGCTGGACTAAACTGATTCTCCTATTTATATTTTTCTGATGTAGTTAGGATGTTAGTCATATTGCACTATATCCAGTGACTGATCTATCTTGCACACTGCACTTTTTGTCTGCGCTGGTCTTAAACCTTGATTCTCTTAATCAGGCTTCTCAAGTAGCTAGCATTACAAGCATTACAATAATTCTGGTCATTACAAGTATGAGCCACTGATACCTGACTCTGCCTTTTAATAAAGGTATTAGGATTTAATCGTGGTATCTCTATTGTAATGACCGTATCTGATTTTATTCACCTTTTTTTTTTTTTTGTCACTTGTGGGGCCTGAACTTGGGCCTGGGTGCTGTCCCACAGTTCTTCAGCTCAAGGCTAGAGCTCTACCACTTGAGCCACAATGCCACTTCTGGCTTTTTCTGCCTATGTGGTGCTGAGGAATTGAACCCAGGGGCCTCATGCATACAAGGCAAGCACTCTACCACTGAGCCACCTTCCTAGCCCCTTATTTCACCTTTTAAAGGCCCCACCTATAAACAACAGAGTTAGATTAAGTTTCCACAAACTTTTGATACCTCACAGTAGAAATTAACTTTCTGCACATGATCCTTTGGAGGACGCTCAAATCATATTCAAGCAATAGCAGACTGTCTCTTATTGGCTGCTTGGGCAGAAAATATGACACACAAGTTTTATCAACGGTTTATTTGGCTAACACCACATACCATCGTATATGGAAATTCTGTTTAGAAATCTGGAAAGAAAAACATTTGATATTTTACTCTCAGACAACTCAGTCTTTCATTTTTCTCTCTCTGTAGCTTTGGAGCTTAGCAGAGAAGGGAAATCCATTGAGAACAGTCTGTAAAGGTAAGTGTATTTATTACATGGCCTTGATAAACATTGCCTTTACAACATTGATTTTTCTTTTATTCAGAGATTTAAACACTTGGATTAAAGATATAGCTGACAGGACAGGTTCCTTAACCACCTGCTGTCCTCTCTCATAGGCAAAAGTGCTGAGCAATAGTTAGCTGAAAGCAGGAGGAAATAAAATGATGTGCTGAGGGTAGCCAAATGCAATTGTATGCTTGCTGACTTTTGCTTTCTTCTCAGCAGTTAAGTCATTCCAATGGAGCTAAGTTTACTAAGATTAATGCTAGATGGAAAAAGAATGCACTTGTACTACTTCTGGTCAATAGTTAAATAAAACCAGCTGGCCAAATAAAGCATTGAAAATAAAATGCAGAGTGGCGTTTCAATTCGGTTGGATGAAATTTATCGTGAAAGTCAGTTGTGCAGTTGTGTTGAAGGAGCTAGTTTTGTAAAAAGGGAGAAAGCCAGTCAGCTTGGTAAAGCTAATTGCATTCTACCTAGTCACTCTGAATCCTAAGTGATTTACAGGAAATGAACTTCCAAGGTTGGAGCAATTGGAAAAATACCTACTCAGCCTCCTGTGAAACATTACAATCAAGTCCATTTTTACATGGAAAAATGTAATTGTTTCCTCTTTGCTAGGTATATTTATAAGCCCACCTCTGTACAGCATTGTTCTTGATTCATTGTTTAATTTCTGTTCTGCATGAAGTATTTTAATTTAGAGAATTCATTCTGGAAAATTATAGGACTGCAGTTTCATCAAGAGTCTTTGGTGGCCAGGGTGAAACATGCCATAATTCTACATTTGTTTTTATCATCAGTTATGTTTTTGACAAATTTAGTTTCTTTTCTGTCATTTTTATTACAGTAATCATGACTGTGACCACTTTAGTTAATGTTGAAAAGCCATTTTGATTTACCTTATATTTTAAGTTATTCTTAACTTTATGACAAATCTGTTTTGGAGCCTCAGTTTTTAATGTTTATTTTACAAGGGAATTGGAAATTCAACCCATTTTTGAACAGGCCAAACATGATCCATGATAACTCTATTATGGGGATTTGCTTTGGGATGACCATACTCTGATATCTGAAAGCTGGTTGGCTTGGAATTTTGCTAAAATGATTAGCTATTAATAAAGAGAATACTATCATATGAAGCAGGTCATTCTTATTTTTGAATATGGCTTTCATATTTCTAGATCATTGTGCCACTTCTTGGTATAAAATAGTATTTGAAGCTTTTAGATATAAATATTCATGATGTATTGGAGTTAATAGGTAGATATATTTATGGTACCTGCAGTCCTCTTGAGAGACGTTTTCACAGTAGCACATCTATTTTCTTTGTCTCATTGAAAACTGTTAGACAAATGCTCTGAAGTCAGACATGGGGTTCAGTCCTGATTTGGCTTTTGGATCAGGGAAAAATTATGTTATCTTTTTGTATCAGTTTCCTGATGGAGATGATACTCTTAACTGCCTTTTGTGGTTATTATGGAAGAACAAGTCCTGATCCATGATAGATCAGCTGTCAGATACTAGTTGCTGCTCTTCTTGTTAATATCATCTTCATAATCATCATCATCACTGCCATCATCACCATCGTCATCATCATATCATCATTGTCAGCATAAGCACAGTCTTATTCATTTGTTCATTTTGAGAAATCTTTCTAGGAACAGGATAAGGTTTCCAAAATGAGCATGTTGTTACCACAAAAGAACAAATTCTGCTTTGTCCTTAAAAATCAAATGAAAAGCCAACTTTTAGCTAATATGCTAAATGGGGCTTCTGGAAGTGAAAAATTGTGAAGTTGAAGTTTTCAAAGCATCTAGGAAATTACCTTTGTTGTAGTTACATAACTCAGGTAAAGAGTACATTTCTTTTTGGACAATGTCACTCCTTCCCTCCTTGTCTCAATTTAATTCTTAAAGATTTGTTTTTCAGAGAGAGAATATGCTTTCCCATTTTTCCCCTCTGTCTTGTACCTTCCTTTGGAGGTACTTTGTGTAGTGAAACTATAATCATGGACCTATACTTAGCCTATGAGTTTGTATTATGACCACAAGCTTGGTTAAGTGCACGATCCTTTTTTAGAATATGAATCTTTAGCTAAGTTGTCTTCCTTTGTCCCTTTTTGGCTGTGATCTGATGATATATGCTATAATAAAACCACAGGTGGTAGCTCCTATTTCTGACCTCTATGTATGTCTGGACTATTGATAGTCTCTGAACCTTGTTTTCCAGCTTTCCCTGGATTCACAGAGCCTCTAATTTCCCTCTAGGAATTTTTTTTAATTAGCGAATTGTTTTCTGTTGCTTATAACTGCATAACCCTGATGGAGTAGTTTTTATGATAAGAAACTAGATTTAGAATAAATGGGGTAAGTTTGAATTTTTTACAATTAAGATACCATTCATTATTTTCTTTAATTATATGCAAAGAGCTGAATGTTTTCTAGTAGATTAATACTGTACATGTAGAGTTTTCAAGTAGGTTCTTAAAAATAAGCAATTGAGCTGGGGGCGCATGGCTCATACTTGTAAATTCTACTTATTCAAAAAGGCTGAGGGATGAGGATTGTTGTTTGAAGCCAGCTTGGTCAGGAAAGTCTGTAAGACTCTTATCTCCAATTAACCACCAAGAAGTCTGAAGTAGAGCTGTGGCTCAAGTGGTAGAGTGCTATCTGTGAGCAAAAAAAACCCAAAACCAAAAACAACTCAGGGACAGTGCCCAGGCTCTGAGTTCAAGTCATAGGACTGTTATACACACTAAAAAGCTGTTTTGCTCTATGCTCAGTACTTTTGAATTGGGTAACACCTTTGACTACTTTTCTAGCCCTCAAAAGGATGTGTGAGTATGCAGGAGTGTGGCTGGAAAAGAGAAGAGAAGTGGAGAGGACATTCTTCTCAGTTTCTAGTGTTTTTGTCTCTTAGTAGCAAGGACATTATGATTTTTTTCCTTCCCTGAACATTTCAAGACAAAATGGTTAGACTCTGTATTCTTTCTTCTCTTTTCCTCTGATTTTAATTCATAATTTGAATATTTTTGTTTTCCTTCTGAGGCTAAATAAATACACAAAATAAAATATCACTGAAGACTCTATTTCTTTCATCACTGGCATTGCTTGCAGTTTACTGAGAATAGAATGGGAATTTTTCTCTTTTCTTCCTGGTGTCTTGTATGTTGAATATTTCTGTGATCTTCACAATGCCTAGAACACAGTTGATTAATGCTTTTCCTCACATGAACATTAATTTGTCCTCCAACTGTGAGTACATAGCATTACAGCATTGTAGGGTGGGAATAAACTTAGCTGGTATTAACTAGGAAGCACACTCTCTCATTTTGGCTCTGTCACTTGCTTTGTGACTCTAGGTGAGATTCCTAACTTTCCTTAAGGTCTTATCTATAAAATTATTTCTTTCTATATCTATAACATTAAGATATCTTTTTCCTTAAATAGTGTAGAGGATTTTTTGAGAATCATATAAACATAAGACATGTAAAAGTCTTTTTCAAATTTTAAAGTCTTATACACTATCATGTATTGTTATTATTCCATTATTTCTCCCTCCTTCAGATCCCAAGTAGATGAAGACCTTGGGAGAGTGTTATATGGGCTGAATAGGAAGGTGAGATAAATTAACCATAACTCTTTATAGTACTTGTGCTAGAAGTCTTCCTTTATACTCTCTTCTCTTTCTCTGCATGGCTGTGTGTCCCAGGAAGGCCTACCACTGCTTTCAAGCATCCCTTAGATGCTTGCTTAGTGGATTTCCTTGGTATTAACCTCTGAAAGACACCACACAGTTGGAATTTTATGTTGTTCGTACTTTCTTCTGGAATACCACGGCTCTTCGGTGGCTGTTTCTCTCAGGAAGGCTGCAGTACCTGCCTAGGGTGCTCTTTTACAGTCTAGCTGTTTCCTGGTATCTGATAACTACATATTCCTTTCCAATTCTAATCCTGAGTATTAACAGTTAATTTTTTGTCAATTCCAGGGGCTCAAACACCCTTTATTGGGTTTATTTCACCCTTAAAGTTACCTCAGTTATTTGAACTTGAAGGTGCCATCTTCTCCCTGCTGTAATCTTGATTTTATAAAGGACTTATTTTTTCCTTTGTATTTTTTTTCTGCCATCCTCAAGTTAATTCAACAGATATCTTTTTAGGATATATAATATATTAAGGACAATGTACATGTTTATTGAATACTTTGAAGAATTGACATTTAAAAATCAAGTAAGTTTAGGTAAATTGAAAAACTTTATATTCGCCCCAGTATTAAGAAATGCTGTACTTAGATACATTATGAATTACCCTTACGTTCTTTTTCTTTTGATCAAGGCAACATATTGGCATAGTTTAAAGAAAATATTATTAAGAAGTAAATAGTGAAAAACAGCAACATTTGTCCCTACCTTTCTCCCTCATTCAAATCTTCTCCTTAGAACTATTAGCGTTTAATTCTGATAAATTACATGTTTATATATTTTTCTCTAATATATCAATTTTAGCAATTACTTTCTGCTGCTCCCTATTCCTACTACTTCTGGTCCTCATGGCCTCGTAAATTAGTTATATAACAAGTTCTGTTTAAATCAGTAGATAATTACATTATCATAATAATGTAATTATTTTTACTGCTGAATCAAGTGATATAGTAGGGATGGGTATGTTTCCTTTAACATATAAGTTTTTGTGTATTTTAAAATTAATATGTGCTTTAAAAATTGTTTCCTTCCCTAGTGCCTTCTATTAAGAGCTGCTGACATCTCTATTTTATATGTGGGACATACCAGTACTTCCATTTTATTGATATGAAATGGAGGCTTATATAACTTGTGGAGAGCAACAAGATGGGAAAGAATGGGGAAGAATGAAGAAAGGGTTACACTGTCATGAAACATTGTACTCATAACCAGATAAAATTGTAGCCCCTTTATACAAATAGTTAATAATAACAATTTAAAAAAGTTTGTCT